CAATAAAACTACAACTAGCTAGTTTTTAAATTTCAAGCTCTTTTCAAGCATCTCACCTTATGAACATTTATGTTTCACAAGAAAACACAATAGAATGTATAGTGAATTTATTTATTCTTGCACATCTATTTGCGTTTGTTTCTTTCGAACTCATGAAGGTAGCCAAACTTATCGAACACGTTATTTTTTTTGCAAAAAGGTCATGATATGTTATCGATGTAATTATCAAAGTCCTACTACTGATCGGAGTCTTATTCATTTAACGTACCACATAACTTTCACATTAAATGATGTACCTATGGAAAATGTCATAATCTGGTGATGTTACACTATCTAGTTCATTGGCTTGTCGGATCTTATCGGTCAAACTTACAGTATGGTCACCAATTTAAGAGGTTGACCACATTGGTGCATTTTAAGTTGATGTTGGATATTTTGCTGGAAGCTTTGTAGTTTTTTATTGTCTTTAAGGAGTCAATAAAAAGGAATTCTTATTTTACCTGAGTAGGTACTCATAAACAAGTTGCATCATCAGTTTAAGTGGAACCCTAGTTGAGCAGAAATTATAACTGCACTTCAGTCGGTGTTGGTTAGCATTTACTGCTACAAAGTTTTTGTTAGCCAGTTTTATTTATTGATTCCTTCGCTTAAAAGATTTGTTCCGTGAAATGTGTTTATCACACTTGAAAAATTATCCGTTATAAGTTGAACGAAGTCAATGAAACATATAGTCTCAAGAAAAATGACATTATACAGGTAGTTAATCCATTGAGATATGTGTCCGGTTCGACCGAAGATAACTTGTATAGTCTAGTCAAGTATCGATGTGTATACTTATTTGTAAATCAAATTATGGAGAATCATTTATGTCCCTAGGGAACAGATTTATCATTATCCCCATGGAAACAAAATTTCCTATGTGCAGTATGAAAATGATGCTGACGACAAGGAGGAGAATGCACATTACAGTAAGCACTCCAGATGATCCGATTAAACGGCCGGTTGTGATACACAACTGGTGTTCTACTAAGAGAATTTAGGAACTAAGATGCTTCATTGCCTTTAACTTCATAATGATCATCAACATTTTTTCTAGATGCTACACCAAGTAAACTGCTTTCATAGTCTCACTAGCTACTTAGACATATCCTCGTTCCATATTCTAACTGTAATGGATTAGAGAGACAATGTCTAGCTACCAGTAACGCATCAGTGATTCATTAGACTGTTGGATATCACAAATTCATTAATAAATAATAAATTATAAGTTATTCGGAATCTGACTCTTATAGACCAGCTGATGTGTCACTGGATTAGTAACCTAATGAACTACTGGTTCAACTCCATTATTACTTAACAATATATATATATATATATATATATATATATATATATATATATATACATATATACATATTTGTATACAATTGGTGGATGGTGGCTAGCAGTGGAATCCAGGATGCGCATTTCGTCCTATTTGGGACTCGTCAGCTGGATGTACCTGCATTTCTCACTGAGTGATGATGTTCCAACCGAGGCTCGAACCCAGTGCGCATAGTTTCAAACGCCAAAGCGTTATCCACTAGACGACTTGGGCCACGAGAGCCACCTCTTGTGCAACGGGTCATATTAATTATTGAATTGAATTTTTGATTTTCCCGTCGATTGATTGGACCGAAGTGCTCGGTGCCCGTTGCACAAGAGGTGGCTCTCGTGGCCCAAGTGGTCTAGTGGATAACGCTCTGGCGTTTGAAACTATGGGCACTGGGTTTGAGCCTCGGTGGGAACATCATCACTCACTGAGAAATGCAGGTACATCCAGCTGACGAGTCCCAAATAGGACGAAATGCGCATCCTGGATTCCACTGCTAGCCACCATCCACCAATTGTATACTAATTGAATACCCAGACATCGTCGAAACATCTGCATAAGAAGCCGACATGTCAACCTGAGACCGAGCACTTCGGTCCAATCAATCGACGGGAAAATCAAAAATTCAATTCAATACATACATATTTGTTATACACAGCAAGTATCACCCAGAGTTACCTCGAGTTGACTTATTCGACTCCACAGTTAGCTTTTACCTTACTGTGGGTTAGTTACTATTATGTTGCCTAGTAAGCGAATGAGGCGATCATTTAAATTCCAGTGGAAGAATTCAGTATGACCGTGGGATCTTGCCAAATGGTCTATCTCATTTTCAGTAAATTCACTGCCAAATGTCATTGTCTAAAAAACATCTGATAATAATCTGTAGCATAAGAAAATAGCGAAAGTATACGATCTCTAGACGGAATGTTTCCTTACCTCATTTGGAGCAACGGGAAGTACTTTATCCAAACTAAATATAGAAATCTTTTGGATTTGAGAAGTCTCATTGGAAACAATAAGAACCACTGCTCGATAGCATCACATTTTGTGTAACACTAAAAATTGTTTATTTACAACCATACTGTGATGCATAGCTTAAGCAGTGCATGTTCTTACTTTGGCACCTTTAATGTCAACTGTAAAGGTGATTCTAACGGGAAAAACATAAGTAAAACCAATTACACGGGAGTTGTTGAGCGTATAATTTTACAAAGCTGACTAAAATGCGATCAGTTGAGAAGAATTACCTGTTTATATAATCAAAGAAACATTCACCACTCACACGATGTGTCTGCCGAATAAGTGTCACAGAGGGCTTATATTAAAGATCAATAGGACGCTGTCTGCTGCAGCATTCTGTATAAGCTTACTCCAAGTTGCGTGAATTCAGTGCAGATAAATGATAAACTAGATAGTTCGGTGATATCCATTTGCATGCATAAATCTAACTACTGTTATATTAAGAGTTAAATGAATACAATTAACTGTAAAACTTTGAACACTGTTAGTGCCGGCTAAAACCACAATACTTTTAATCAAAAGTTTGGTACGCAAACATCTATGGATATCGACAGCCATTGCAGAAAACATTCAAATTTTACCGTTCTATTTAGAGTACCACTTCACTTATATAATTTAGTCCGCTTTCTGATAACCATGAATAGTAATGGCAGTTTAAAAACAATCTTTTCTATCGTATATAACAGTGTCATCTGGTTTCTTATTCTCCTATGCTTTTTATATTCGACTCAAAATTGCAATCACTATTTTCGACTACTAAGTAGATTAATTTTTGTTTTTATTTCCTTATTACTGTGACCTTTGTTAGTAGTATGCTACTTTTCATAGCAGGTTTTCTTTTTCATAATTTTTTAGAATATTAATCAAATATTTTATTTTCTGACGACTCAGACGATTGTTTACTTCTCTGTCGGTGAAAAAATACAGTGTATTTTCACATGTCCACAGTGAGCTGGAATATACAAACATTCGCTGTTGTCATCATTATTGTGATGGCGAGCGAACCTAGAATGGTGACCACATTGCAAACCTGACTGATAGAATTCAGTCTGCACCAAAGAAAGGACTAGATACGTCGCACTAGTTACTAGTGTCCAATCAAAGAATAATCATTCCTGATTATTTTGCACTGGGGTATTCATTACTGACCTACAAGAACCTTATGCGTAGTTGTTCTCGTTTTTATTGAATTAACAATCTGATTTCTTCTTCTTTTCAATTTTTAAGGTATATAAGCTCCCAATTCAACCTACTAATTTTCTCAAGGATTCATCTTGTCTGACGAAAAGTGGTTATACTGTGTTTGGAGTGTCAGGAACTGACAAGTTGTTTCGGGAAAATAATAATCTAATTGCAGGTGAGTACCCTTCAATGAATTTCAAGCTAGTTTATCATATTGGTACTGAGTGTCTGCAAAAAATAGTTTTCATCTGTAACCTTAAAGACTGGTGAACAATTATCAAGTACACATGCTAACTTGTCGTATGTTACTTAGTTGCCTTAATCAGGATGTTTAAACTCCACTATATTGGTTTAGAGCCTTAAACAGAAAATTCTAATCCTGAGTCTTATTGACGTTTATCGGTATAGTGTCTGAATTGCAAGTATTAATATTGAGTCATCCTTTACGCATCATGCGAAGTTGAAAATGACGTCATGTAAGGCGGCCTACCATAACGTTATTACACAAATTCGATAGAAGCATCATGTAAACGCCAAGCATTGTATTAATTAGCATGAAACAACCTTGAATTCTAATCTTTCAGCGCACATATAGTGATCTTGTTTCCATTTCATATGTTGTTAGGCTTTCTTTCCCATACCGTTTGTCTGACCTCACGAATGTTTTGCTTTATAGTACAGTATGGTGTTCCACATCGTAGTTACCATATTATATGCAGTTTTAGTTATGTAAATATGTGTGAAATAAAAACGAATGGGGTCCAGTGCATTTGGAAGGTTTGCTTATAGTTAATTCTTCTAAGCAAACATTGGTAACTGGCGAATTCTACTGACATGAAGTGGTATGCAGCAGAGTAACTATATACGTTATGTTTCCAAGGTGTGAACTGGAATCTCGATACACTCACTTCAGTGTGTTTGATATGCTTTTTTATGATACCAACCAATATGCAAGCAGGTTAGCAAAATACGTCTACATTAACATATCACTGTTAACTCAACTACTTGCTTTTTGTAAGTAGGCAAACTGGTAAAGACTAAATATTCAGTGAGTGTTTTATTTTCTTCAACTGGAACAAGAAAAAAAATTATATTGTGAATTCATTGTCACATTCTTTACATTTCAGCATATCTTGTACAATAATTAAACAATAGGCAACCTACAAAATAACTGAGTACAGGTGAGTGAAATGAAGTACTGAAATGATCAACATTGTTATGCGTATATCTTATGTCATCTGTTTTAATAATTTCTTGTGAACAAAAAGCAAAAGAAAGAAAAGAAAACAACAAAGAGCAAACTAGAAGGAGTGCTCAACGGTTCATGTATTTCTTGTGTGTATACTGCTACATGTAATGGATATTTTTTCAAAGAAGTGTGAAGCGACGGGAATTCATCTTGTTCAATTGAATTCCCGAAAGATCAAGGGGAACTTTCTGCCTTCTTCTGTTTCTCTTCACGCCATAACCAATTGACAATTGAAATAACAAGGACCAGTGTTAAAATTATAGTATTCATTAGAGTAAGTGAGTACCATGGATTGTAGTAAGCAAAATAATTCTGAAAGAGGAAAAGCTTTTTTTGGTTAGCATCTTGAATAAGATATCTGACTGTGAGAAATAAGTAAGTTTGTAACCTTTATCTAAAATAACAATAATAATAATGACAGCAATGATAATAACAAACTAATATTCATAGTTATATGTTTTCACACAGAACATGTCACTAGCCCAGAGTCCACTTAGCCAAACATATTTCAATAACGATTCACCATTTCCAGTAAATCTTCATTTCAACAGAGAATTATTAAAAAACAACAGTAAAATAGTAGGAACGGTGGGAAACTGTAATCCTGTTGGATTCGTCCATCAGAACCACTCTTTTTACAATGACTTAGATATCTTATCAACTGGTTACTGAGGATAAACTTTATTAGGAACCAAAGTCAATTACGAAACATAGTACTGGTTTATCTGTTAAAGGAATAATTTGGTCACAGATGCGATAGGCATCTCTCAGTCAGGTCTGTGGATGTAGTCAATGATTTAAGTGACGTCAGAGACTGACAAACAAGATTTAAATTCAGTGAAATCCAGGAGATCTAACTTTCCAAATCATCATGGATTACCCAAGATTCATAAGGTTGACAATCCATTATGTCCAATTCTATCAATGTGTTACTCCCCTACACAGAAATTGGCAAAATGGATAGCTGATATTTTAGAACCATTACGTAATAAACTATGTAAGTTCTCTTTGAAAGATCCATTTGAACTTGTTGAGTGTCTTGCAGACATGAATATAAACGATATGAAAATGTATTATTTTGATATTAATTCCTCGTTTACCAATGTACCATTGATTAAGACTCTTGATATTCCTTTTGACTATATATTTTCTAGTTGTTTGTCATTCCTTGTTTTCCTTTAACTTATATGAAAGATGTGTTACTATTATGTACTGTGAACGTCTATTTCTCATTTGAAGGTGGGCAGTTTCAACAAATGGATGGCATTGCTCTGGGGAGTCCATTAGGACCCTTGATACAAGTATAAAACCTGGGCACTGTGGTAGAGCATAACTCCATTATGGATAAGATTTTCTTTTGATAAATCACACAGTGTTGTACAGTAATATTAACTGATGACGTTTCGAGCACAAACTATTTCTCATAATCACATCAACTTGATATCAAGTTGATACGATTATGATTATTAGTTGGACATGGTAATACTTAAATTTTCACAGCTTCTGTCCACTACAGTAGAAAAGAGGCTTGGTGAAGTGTTTATTGTAGAGAATTTAGTGTATTTGTACAACTAATGTTACAGAGGATAAAAATGAAATACTGATGGACACTCTTGTAGAAAACGGCTATACTTCCAAGTTTTTAAACGGGTATAGAAGTCAGTTGGTTTTAAGACTCACAATCTATTCTGTCCTTAAGAAAGATGTTTTCATTAAATAACCACACAGCGGGAAAGTAAATAGTAAGGTTTTGAAACATTCAGAGACTAGACTCAGTCATCCGCATAACATATCATGCAGCTCGGCTTGTAATTATTAAAAAAGTCAAAAATATGCTCCACTGCTAACCCCAAAAGTGCACAAGTGATTATGTCAAATCCCACTTTACTTTTTCCCTTATTACTTTAAGTTACCAGTGGAACATAAGCTTCCAGCTAGAACTATGAAGTTTCAGTAGCAGTGGTGTTTATTCTTACGCAGTGGGGTCGTTAGCCTCACGCCCAGCCTCCCTTGTTTCCCAGTCATACCCCGGCTCAGCAAGGTTTAGGAGGGCGTCTGCTGGGAATCGAACCTCAGGCCACACGAGTGGTTGGTGAGCATTCTAACACTGTACCATCGACAATACGTGGGAGTTTACTTGTGTATGTGGACACACACACAGGAAGGAATAGTTACACTGCGCGTCTTAAGGTAGGAAAGCATATTCCGAAGTGGTTAGAAAAACAGATGAACTCTGGAAGGTTGACAGACACAAGTATCAGACTACCGACTTCATTTATGGGTGAACCTAGTGTTAACTATTCTTATTATTTCTTAAATCCGTTTTGTCACTTTTTATATTTTAACTTTCCTTTAATTTTCATAATAATTGACATGACAAGTAAATTTGTGATTAGACTGTTCGGAATATACTGCCCGAAATATCACATCTCCGTCTTCTAATAACACTATCCAAATTTATAAAAGGACTAACTGTTTTAAATCAAACAACCTTTTTTACTCCTGGTGAGTTGATTTCCCGTTAATGAAACTGTTACTGCATAGAATAATCTCTCGATTTTAAAAATGGAACCACTGATTTTGTGTAATCGTTTCAATAGTTAAGTACCCAATGGCTCATTGGTTGGTCTAAAAACCTTAGTCGTATTTTCACTATAACAGAAGAGTTTTATTATATATTTTACACAACAAATTATTTGATTCTAGCTGATGCAATTAAATATGAATTTGTTACTGGTACGCGATATCGTTTAACCGTATTAATCCAAAAGCAAAGTGAGACTCACTGAAAGTTGAACAGTATTGAACGTATGCTTCTCGTAAGTTGAAGTTCTTTAATACTGTACGTTCGTGATGTCATAGGGGCTATATATTGGGATACGTGGTCTCGTGACAAGCATGTTCTTACACAGATGATACACTGAATTTAGTGTTCTATTATTTCAAATACTTTTGTTATCAACTGATGCAGTTCGTATCTTGTCATTATCTAGTTGTTCTGAGAAGAATAAGTCTTGGAAGCCGGCTAGATTCCTTTGTGTCAGTGAAAAATACAATTAAAGCTGAGTTTACACGAAAACCAGTTAAAGGTATCAGGTTTTTATGGTACGTCTAAGTACTTGAGACGCCATCTTTTATGTCACAGTAGCTAACGGTCTATTCAAAAGATAGCCATGAAATCTTACTGGACATAAATCCTAGTAATGACTGAAACAGCATTCCAAACGCACTAAGTCCTACACATCTATCATGTTATTTAGATATCCTGGTTAGATTGTTTCAGATTAAAACATTCAATTTAGTGTAGGAGAATTATGATTGAATTTGATACTAAAATCTATGAGTTTCCAAATAGTGGTCTGTAGAGGACTTAAGTATTTCTTAACTTGATGCATAACACTGTAGTACTTGCAGCATCAAAAGCAGGATTTTGAATCTACTGCAATAATCAGTGTCATAGATGAACATTCGGATAAATCTGGATGATGAGTATTCAATGATATGAGACCTTCATTCTTAAATTCACTAACTGTTTTTCAGTAAGCAAATAATGGCAGAAAATCGAAACAGTATCAAGAGGCGTATTTAAGCAGCAGAGGTAGTTTAAGTCATTCTTAGATAATTACCCGTTAGGTATCTATGATAAGGATTCAGGAAATGTGAATCATGTGCTGAGCAAATTGCAGCTTTACGCATCGTCATCAAACGAAAAATGGAATGGCAGTCAAACCTCTCCCTACCTCATCTTCAACAGACAGCGTTGACCGAGAAGTAATTTGGAAACTGCTTCAACACTGAGACGTGCAGTCCCCAAGTCTTTATCAACCCCATTCAACAGCTGGCTGTATGACAACGCCACGTGTCAGTCAAGTGATCCACAACGCAAAACTCAGCAGTAACTCAGCGAGGTGTTCAAAGTGCATACGGGAGTAAGACAGGCTGGCTGGCTGTCTATTATCACCGATGATATTATGCATCATACTTCGAGTGGGCAGTAAGATGACAGGAATACGCCGGACCATCGATAAGAAGACTCTAGGAGATCTGGATTTCGCGTGTGGAGGATATATGTCTAATGTGACACAAACTCGAAGACTTGGAGGCGAAAAGCAACAAACTGGCTGAATAGGCAGGTGGCGAAGACAGGACTGCAGGTGAATATGGAGAAGATGGAGGTGATGAAGATGACCAACCAACGCCATCGTCGTCAACATCATCATAATCATCATCATCATCACCAACAACAAAAACAACAGGAACAACAACAAGAAGAAACAGCATCAATCACGATCAACGAGAGAAACTTGACAGAAGTAAATTCCTTCACTTATTTGGGTGGTGGTGGTGGTGGACGGGGGGAAGCATCGTTTCAACAACAACAACAACCACATAACACGGATGAAGACTTCGAAGCCAACCAGAATCGGAAAGGCGAGATACGCCTTCATCAACCTGAAACCAGCTAGGAAATATTCTGCACTCAGCCAGGATAAGGAGCGAGATTCGGATTTTCAACACCAATGTGAAGTCAATCAGTCAGTCAGTCAGTTAGTCAGTCAGTTAGTCAGTGGTTCTATTGGCGTCAGAATCTTGGCGTGTGCGTCACGAAAGGATTTCCTACAGGATCCTGCAGACTTTGATCAACAGCAGCCTCCTTCGCTGGCTGGCTGGTCAGAAATAGTAGTTTACAATCAACTCTGTCCGAGAACAACCAACCAACCAACCAACCAATGGCCGATTGCTCAACAAATATGTGAGAGAAAATGGAGATGGATCGGGAACACGTTCAGGAGGTCGTTGGATGACAACGCACTCAATGCATGACATTACTCCAATGGAAACCTAATGTGGGACGACAAGTGGGTGGTCAGTGCAAGGGTGATATTGAGTAGATGGTGGGAGGAGGAGATGAGTGATTATGGTGAATCGTTGGGTTAGGTGAAGAGGACGGCAGAGAATAGAAGAGAGTGGAGATGTATTGAAGCCCAGTTGGAACTCAAGGGAATAATTATATACATGGTCATACCAGTCGTAGTGATGTTAATGTAAAATGATCTTTGCTAGATAAATAAAACGGCCTGTTTGATTTTTATTCACATGGTAGTCCATACACTTTGACTTGTTTTTTTTACTTCATTTCATTGAAGAAGACTTTACAAAGATTCTCCTCCAGTTATGATAGTGGAATTCAGAACGCTACAAGTTAAACTATTAGTCAGTGAAATGAAGACGATCGGTGAAAAACGTTTTCACCAGGAATCTCAGAGATTTTTCCTGTACTTAAATTTGACATTTACATAGATTTTATTGTTGTTTGAATAGCGTTGTGCACTTACTTCACCATTAGTTTTCACTGGTGTTGAGGGTGTTGCAGTTACAGGGACAGCTGAATTCCCACTGGAATCTGATGGTGCTTGTGAGGGATCCGTAACAGAAGGTTTAACTCCATTATTTGTCATTGTCTGGCTAGAGTTAGTATGGTCGTCTGAATGTGTTTCTGGAATGAACTCGTATAGAGTCTGGGGCCAACTAATACGACGTGGATGTTGATTTGCAGTTTCAGTTTCTTCACAGACTTTTAAATCATCCACATCGTCTTCCTCTTCATCGTCATCGTCATCATAGTCTACTCCTCCATCGAAATGATCTTGTCTAGTAGGATATGCATTGATTACGTCAGACGGCACAGTATTACGCAACCATTTTTCATCCCCTTCAAGATCAATATTATCCTGCCTGATATTATCATGTGCGAATAATGTCTTGAAGCCAGTCTCTAAAGTAGGCCGCCTCAAAAACACTGAATTATCTTGTGGAAGTGTTGAATATTTTACTTCATTTCTGTTCATTGTTTGGTTAACTTTCAATGGGAATGTTGAATATTTAGACATAAACTGTCCTTGTTGTGGAGTCTTCTGCTGACGATAAAAGTGCTGAAAGTTTCTTCCATTTGAATTATGTGTTATACAATAAGGATATGTGGATCGTAAGATTCTTTTCGGGAATTCATGCCATGAACCTGTATGTGATGTTTTATTCATACAGAAAGGATTTTTCACTTGACTCCATAGTGCACTCGCACTTGTCAATGGTGTTGAAACATATTTACTTGGACAAACAGTAGTAGTGCAAATAGAGTACATTGAAGGTGTCATTGGTGATGATGTCATTGGCTGAGAATACTTGTCATGACGTAACGAATGAGATGAATGCATAGAATGGTCCATTTGGTGACTAGATTTATCGGTGTCTATTTTACTGATATAACGACGGTTGTTTATACTAGACTTCCGTAGATGAATTTCTAAAGGGTTTACAGTCACAGTATTTTCCTTAATTCCAGTTTGATGAACTTGTTGCTGTCTCTGTTGTTTCATGTAGATAGTAGGCATAGAACGATCTCTATCAAAAATCCCAAAATCTTCATAGGCGCTGTGAATTCTGTTAGGAATATACTGCAGTCTTCTGTTTCCTGGTATTTGGCACCAGTCATGAAAGCAACTCGAATTATATGCTGTAAATGGTTTTGTATGGGCTCGCGTAAATCGATCACTCATTGTTCTTTGATTTTGTAAAAATGCTTGGTTGGATATCTAGATAAGCACAAAATTAAACAAAAAAATTAATCAAAATTTTGGAGACTGCATTGTTATTTCACATTTTAGCGATGTGATGTGCATACCATTCGATCGACTCAGTCTAAATTGTGCATTGGTTTGTTCCAGACGTTAACTGGATGAATACTGTCTAACACTGGTGAGGTTTTGATCAACTTAAAGACAAATAGAGAACTTCAAAAGATGGTCACTACCAAGTAGACAAGTAATTAGACCATAAAAGTTGGTGGAATAGGGCAATATTTAGGTGAATATTCTATCTCTGAAAATAATGGAACAGCAACTCAAATGAAAAAAAGAATTCAGAAACTTATTTAATAAATGTCACTCTTATGATTCCCTTGGGTTCCGGGTGAAACAAAGGGCTTCAGTAGCACGTAACCATTTTTCTGACCTTCACAGCCTTTTTTATCTGACTTCACAATTGTCTGTAAGTTTCCATTTCTTATTCACACAACCTCCTACATGTCACTCTCGGACGTTAGACTCCTCGTTTCCATTAGAATACTACTCAGGGGCCTGGCGAGTGATATCACAGAATGGTCCCCTCACCATGTGTCTTATCCACTCCACCTAGTTCACTAGTTGACCTTCAGCTTAGAGGAACAGGGAAGATTGCGGGTGGGACTGTCAGTCCTACCCTGGAAAATTCATCCAATTTCTAGAGGAAATTCGAAGCATAGAAAAAATATGAAAATAAGCCTACATAGGGGTAGCCATTATATGTAAATATATATTTGATGTTAAAAATATTTCACTTATCAGCTAAAGTTGAGCGGGAAACCCAAATGCTCCACTTAAACTCAATAAATTATCTGTAAGGTGCTGTCACTGTAATAATCCTAAGTATCATCACAATTAAAAACTTGGTTTATCTGTAGACTGGGATATTATAGGTATCGGCTATTAATTTCTTCGACACAAACTGTTTACTTCTCAGATGACGCAAAGTTATTATGTTTCTTAATCATGGAATCTAGTAAGTCAGCCTTATTTGTGGTTGTATTCTCTGAGTTCGGGTGATTTGATTGGGGAGCTTCCATTTGCATTCTAAACAACATTTTCAAAGCTTACTCCAATGTGAGCGAGTTTTCGTAATTCACCATGAATAGCACAACTCTCTCTCTGCTGCTGCTGCTGCTGCTGATGATGATGATGATAACCTTGGTCGATATTGGTTGTCTTCAGATGTTTTATTATGCTTGTGTTAATTTTTGTTAATATCCATCTTTTCAGTGATATGGAGTTTCATCTTTTCGTAAATTTCACCACTTGACTTGTCTTTTATTGGTTGGTAAATATGATCTGTCACTGTCTGTTGAGTGAATAATGATACGAGTACCTGATCTCAAAGAGTTCTCATCAAAAGGTAACTCCTGGGTCATTAAAACGACCACTGTTGGAAAAAAGTAACACATGGACAATAAAGAGTCTCAAGACAACTGCTATTTCCTAGCGTTATCAGGAGAGAGAGAGAGAGAGAGTAGTTTCATTCATGCGAATTGCATAAAACTCACTTCACAATGAAGTAAGCGTTGAAGCTGTTGTCTCAAAGTACAGTGAAAGCCATGCAATTAAGTCACACAACTCCACGAACAAAACCACACCAAAAACATCCCCTTGAGCAACAAATATTTTGCATTATTTTAAATCAACCTTTATTCTGAACAGACACAAACAAATATTTTTTAGGTGTATGTAAACTACAAGTATATTTCACTGTTACTTACTTGTGATACATGGCGATCCAGTGAATGACGATCCCCTTGAATCAAAGACTGTTCATATAGCACTGGACCCGTGCCATCATCACCAGCATAAAATGCTGGCAACTGATGCTGAATACAATCATACGGAGCTGAGTAGTCCCAGTGACCTAATTTACTTTGTTGTGTACAATAAGCTTTCCGCATATCCATAGGCCATTCTCTTGATTTTAACCGACCTAATTCATTCAACTGAAAATCTGTATGCATAGTCTGAAAATGTGGAGCGGATCGGACAGTTGCTGAACTGAATTCTGATTTTTCACTGACGCTTTCAACATCCTGAGCACTACCACCGGCAAAGACACCTCCACCAGTGTCAGCTATGTATGGATGGAAGAATTTAGTATTTCTCGATGGGGATGAATACTGTCCTGCATAATGCTCATAATGTTCAGTTGGATAAAGTGATGCGTCGTCTGGTACCCAATATCTTTGACTTGAATAAGACTCTGGTCTTTGAGAAACTCCGTGCAGGAGAGAACTACAGATTTTAAAAGAGAAAGACATAATTAAATACAATATTTCAATGCTTGTGTGTTTTGTACCTATATTTGAAAGTATTTGTATGCGTTACATTGTGACCCGATGAACATATATCATAAATAGAACCTTCCATCCACGTACATACATTAGTACATGACTAATAATCGGAGTAGCATAAGAGTGATCTAGAAATCTACTCTCCAAATACATTACAGACCCCGATAGAATTTCTGACGCTGACCTAACAAGGTTGTATAGTGAAAATGAGAGAATGGGAAATACATAAAGTATAAAAGCCACATTTCAGACTAGTAGTGTGGTTACAAGAAAAAACGAATTGTCCTTGGTAAGTCCCCTGTAGAATGTCACATATTTCTTGTATCAAATGGACCACTAAAGTATAGAATTTAACTACTAACAAGGAATAGAATTTTTACTTATACATAAATCTCACAAAAGCCGGTGCCAAATTCGAAATAAGAAAAGGATGAATGAATGCTGAACTGGAAGTAGTGTTAGCGACGTTAATTTTAAAGTTAATGCCAAGAGATTGTGGTATTCTGACCATCATAAATTATGTAAGTATACTAAGATATTAGAAGCAAAAATGATTTCATGAAGTGAGCTGAAAGGTGCGTTCAATATCAGTCACCATGTCGATTTTGATGCATAATAATTGCATGAGGTGCATCCAAAAGTTAAATCTAAAATGGAGGGATGATTGCTTTGAAAATCCTCAGTATACAAGCAATAGAAACCATTTTGGTGTGATTTTGATGATATTCTTAATTGTGGTGATTGAATTATGCATCAGACTTCGAGTGGGCAGTAAGAAGACAGGAATACGCCAGACCATCGATAAGAAGACTCTAGGAGATCTGGATTTCGCGTGTGGAGGACATATGTCTAATGTGACACAAACTCGAAGACTTGGAGGCGAAAAGCAACAAACTGGCTGAAGAAGTGGGTGGCGAAGACAGGATAGCAGATGAACATGGAGAAGATGGAGGTGATGAAGATGACCAACCAACGCCATCGTCGTCAACATCATCATAATCATCATCATCATCACCAACAACAAAAACAACAGGAACAACAACAAGAAGAAACAGCATCAATCACGATCAACGAGAGAAACTTGACAGAAGTAAATTCCTTCACTTATTTGGGTGGTGGGTAGTGGTGGTGGTGGGGGGAAGCATCGTTTCAACAACAACAACAACCACATAACACGGATGAAGACTTCGAAGACAACCAGAATCGGAAAGGCGAGATACGCCTTCATCAACCAGAAACCAGCTAGGAAATATTCTGCACTCAGCCAGGATAAGGAGCGAGATTCGGATTTTCAACACCAATGTGAAGTCAATCAGTCAGTCAGTCAGTCAGTTAGTCAGTCTGTCTGGATTCAACATAGAACTTGGCACCGAAGTGCAGCAGTTCGAGTTGTCACCTTCCAAATAACACACAAAGGTAGACAAGAAGATGAGTGAAGAGAACCAATACAGCCTGACAAGTGTAAGAGTGAAACAGAATGGGTAATGGTAGAAAGGAATATGAAAGATTACAGAGACTGAATACATCTGCGCCAGTGACAATGATTTTGAGCCATGTCACCTATTGTCTCCAGCCATTGATTCCTAGAGTCCCGAGGGCCCCAACCCGGGAGTCTGCATCTCCCTACCTGACTCAGTTTAACTGTCAAGGATTTCATGGATTGATGCCATGTTTTTGTTTGGCCACCACTGGCTCTTTTCCAACCTGCACCTATATCAGCTAGCAATGCCCGTCGGGAGAGGCGGTGGTTAGGCATGCGCAGCACGTGACCTAGCCATCTTAGTCTATGTAACTTTATAGCCTCGTCGATTGATTTTCCCTCTTTACCCAACACTCTACGCCTAACGCCAACATTACTTACCTTGCAAAACCACCCAACGTGAGACAGAGATCGCAGACATCTATGATCGAAAGCAGTCAACATTTTCATGTCTTCAACGCGTATTGGCCATGTTTCAGAGCCATAGAGAAGGACGGAGCGAACTGATGAGCAGTACACACGTCCCTTGGTTGATAACCGGATGTCACGCCTACGCCAGAGGTGATGTAAGTCAGCGAAAGCAGCTCGAGCTTTTCGGATCCGTGCTGAGATAGTAGTAGGCGAGTAGTCAGTGGTTCTATTGGCGTCAGAATCTTGGCGTGTGCGTCACGAAAGGATTTCCTACAGGATCCTGCAGACTTTGATCAACAGCAGCCTCCTTCGCTGGCTGGTCAGAAATAGTAGTTTACAATCAACTCTGTCCGAGAACAACCAACCAATGGCCGATTGCTCAACAAATATGTGAGAGAAAATGGAGATGGATCGGGAACACGTTCAGGAGGTTGTTGGATGACAACGCACTCAATGCATGGCATTACTCCAATGGAAACCTAATGTGGGACGACAAGTGGGTGGTCAGTGCAAGGGTGATATTGAGTAGAAGGTGGGAGGAGGAGATGAGTGATTATGGTGAATCGTTGGGTTAGGTGAAGAGGACGGCAGAGAATAGAACAGAGTGGAGATGTATTGTTGAAGCCTATATTTCATTCGGAAGCGAAGGGAATACAAATTATAACAACTGTGATTTTGAAAGATCTTAATAGTTTACTGATCCTACTAAATAAATATGTATGTGAATTATAAAAATGTATGGATGGAGGATTTCATCATGAGAGGACATCAGTTAGAGGGTACGGTGGTTATAGATGAGGCAGTAACTCATCGAAGAAGACATTGCGAAATGTCGCGTTATTTCGTGAATTGGCATGAGTTAGAAACATATTTGATTTTTTTCAAAAGCCTTATTGGTTATCACAGATGAACAGTAGCTAAACTACTTGGTGTTTGGGACTTGGCTTGTAATATTCAATTTCAACCCAAGGAATGTGGCACATATTTCAGTACACAGACGGATGAACTTATTGGTGGATAGTTACTAATATACCTACTTCTATTTTCACTAACAAAGACAAGCAAGTTAGGTATTATCTGTTGTCTCTAGACACTACTATACATTGAAGTTAGTTAGTAGATAGTTTATCTTTAAATTTTATACTGTTTTCCTATCATCTGTTATATGTGACTGAATTCTTAAATCTGTTCAGCTGTTTTTTTCTCCTCACGTTCCCAGTGGAACATAGGGCCTCAAGCTAGTGGTTTGAAGTTTCTGTGGCAGTGTTTATTTTACAGGATGGGTTTGCTAGCCTCATGCCCAACCTTTCCTCTTTACCAGCATTATTTCTGGCTAAGCGATGTAAAGGAGTGAGTCGGCCGGGTGTCGAATCCCGAACCATGTGTATGGTAGGCGATCGTTCTAACCACTATACCACCGACGCACAACTGTCCAACTGTAAAGATGATATAATCATATTCAGACAACAGAACCAATCCCTATAATCTAAAACAAGATCTGTAAACTGGCGTATATAGTTTTCAGCCATTTCTACTGTTTTGTTTTTCTATTACATTCAACTAATCTGTTGTATCAGGTGTACACAATTGTTCAAAGTTTAGCTCCCAATAGAAAGGAAACCTTTAAAAACAAAAATAGGACCGTAAAGTCTGCAAATCAGCAGTTGAAAATGAAACAGATCATATCATCATCAATTCTACGGGCTACTTTATAAATGCATGCAATTCTCTATAGCCAAATGTAAAAATTAATTGCAGTTTTATGTATAAGTATAAAAAAGGAAAAAGATGATATAATATCAACAAAGCAGTAACAGAACAAGCGGTAACAACAACAAGAGTAACAATTAATATTTCCTGCAAAAACGAACAAAAATACGGTATATTTATTTTTCGATCAGGTAATTTTTTTTAAAATGATTCCGATGAACCTATTCTATTCAAGCATCCATATGTTTTTGTCTTTCATGTGAGTCTAATGGCTAAGTGTGTTCACTGTTTTCTACTCACCTTCTTGTGTGTGCGTGTGTCTGTTGACTTCCACATGCATGTGTACGTGGCCACGAGATTCTCTGTTTGTGTGTATTTTTATCTGAAGGATGCTTTTTGTAGGAATAAAACAATAAGCATATTAAGATTGAATTCCTACTGATGTATCCATTTTTCCCTCTATCATTCTTCTCTAATTTTACCATCTTAATGATTATTCAATTGTTGTACTTCTTATTTGCCTGAAGTCTCACATGAACAAGTACACACACAACGTACATAATCGTATTCGCACAATAATCACTAAGATTAACTGATTTAATTAAACTTCTTTTAGGCTAGATGTAAGCAAGCATTCAGGCATTGCAGTGTTTTGATGTAATACTATAAAATAGTATATAAATATAAGCGTATATAAACTAAGGGCCTGAAAGTTCATTGATGCATAATATGAAACTCCAACAATGAAAACAATTGTCTCAACAGATTTTTGGCCTCATATAACGAAAATTCCTTCTTCGTTAATTACATTATTCCAATGGGAAACAATTAAATTTTGTTCTGTATGTTTTCCGTTCAGGGATGTAATAAATTGAAATGAAGGCAACAAGTAATGAAAGATTTCACTTGTCAGTAAATCCATTTGTATGCTCCTGTATCCATGTTTATGCCCTTAAATGGACTCGAACCCAATGTTAAGTATAACTATAGCTAAATAAACATACACTAGGCAAATGAGCATAAGCTGTGACCCCGATTTGTCAATGAGCTGAAGTTTGACATAGAGCATGATTTTACGATATGTTTCCCCTGCCTAAGCAAACTTATTAAAATGCATGAATTCTAAGTAACTTATAGCTGAATACCTATTAGAAAAGAATGGAACTTGAATGAATAAGTCGAAACTCCCATTTGGAGTGGAAGAAGAGTTGATACTTCTAAGAAAGTCCCATCTCATATTTTACAAAATGTGACCCATCTTCTGTAGCGAAGAAAATACTGTAACCTAGCTACGAGATTCTTAAAAGAAGGATCCCAAAATTCCTAAAAGGGACATTCATTAAAACACCATGTTTGTATACAATTTCTTCTACTCACATGGAGATAGGTATACTGGACCCCTGACTATGGGGTACGAAGCCTACTTCTTTGTAGTCACGAAGATGTTGAGGTTATTCTATAAAAGGTGTAATAACTGAACTCTTTGTCAATCCTGTTCATTTGACTTACCGAAATTAGTGAAACTTTAGCCTTTAAAATAGGAACAGCAGTATCTTTATATACAGAGGGAAATAGTTAACTTAGTTTTCTCTTCACAGTCATGATATGTTTATGTTTTTGAATTATTATTAAAATCAAATATTCTTCTGCTTCCTTTGTTCCATTGGGTTTTTGCGCATTATCATCTTTTTCTGTTACCATGTTCATTCTGATTATAATTCACTGACTGATATGTTTATCTTATTACTCAACTCCCTAACTGTAATTATTTATCTTTACTATAACTCCATTACATTTTGATTAACATTATTATTTATTATTATTCCCATGGGTTCTAAGTAGAACAGAAGGCTTCAACAATGCATCTCCATTTAATCCTGTTTGCTTCAGTCCACTTCAGATGGCCCCACGATTGCCCATTGTCACCTTCTCCTCAAATGACCTCCTCAGTGTCACTCTAGGACGTTAAACTCGTCGTTTCCTGTTTGGATTCAACTCGATGATTTTGTGAACGATGTCACCCTAATGATCTTCTCAGCGTATGTCCAGTCTACATCCACTTTTTCTGGTATATACATTGAGCCATAGGATATTTATTGGTTCGTCCCCAGAGTTTCCTGTTGCTTAGTCTTTCTGGCCGGCCATTTGATCTTCAGTATGGAGCCATTGCAGCTGTTGGTTGACAATTCTTAACAAAAGTGCGCATATTCTACGGGTTACTACTATGAATTTGCTAAATGCGACGAAAACACTGGACGAATTCATGTAACAAAGTGTAAAGCAATATTAAGTGGATTCACTAAAATAATCACACAAATGAATCACGGGTTTCATATTCTCCAGAAGCCAAAGTATTACGTCTATAGATTTCAGAAAGGCATCTGAAAAAGGACTAACAAATTTTCAAAAACAGTGAAAATTTACATGGGTCAATAACTTTGTTATTAGCAGAAGACATAATAGTGAATATCAAAACCAGATCCTCCACATAGATGAAAGCAGAGTCAAACAGTGCCATGCTGCAAAACTGTCATTCTTGCAAACGAATGAAATTTCAAGCCTTCAGTCACTTTTTAATGGAGACTAAGTTTATTACGAAATTAACCAGGTTAATGAGTGGCACAGCGGTTAGGACGCCTGCTGACCATGCACATGGTCCTGGGTTCGACACCCGGCCGACGCACTCCTTTACCTCGCTAAGCCAGAAATAATGCTGGTAAAGAGGAAAGGTTGGGCATGAGGCTAGCAACCACATCCTGTAAAATTAAACACTGCTGCAGAAACTTCAAGCCACTAGCTTGAGGCCCTATGTTCCACTGGGAACGTGAAGGAAAAAAAAAGAGTCATGAACGAATTGGAAGGATTTCAATGGCCTACTGATCTGTTAATGTAGTAGGTAGCCAACGATATGATCTAACCGTGATGTGAAGTTAGAGGGCAATAATACTTATACATCTGATCTATACTAAGCAACAGTTAAGAGTTAATGAGAAATTTACATAGTCCTTACAGCCATAAATAAAAATTTAGATTATTAATACTGTTTTAGTAAAGTAGTCGACGCTTCCATCAAATAACGTTTATTTAAACCTTAGACGGGTAGAGAAACCCCTGTCTCTGAAATTAAGAAAAGTTTTGTCAACGAGCACTAAATTTGAGTCAAGCGGGTTTCCTTGATGGCTGACTAAGAACAACTCAAAAATATTCCCACAAAATATTCAGAGAAAGAATAATGTCAGAGAATCATTGTTTTCAATGACTTTCTCTTCAGGCACTACAGCTACAATACCATGACAGTTAAAATACAATAGGCATTAAAGACAAATCAAAGTTATATGAAAAACTGTACTGGGGTACAAGCTATAAGATGTGATAATTGTCCTCTGGCTTTGATTGTCAGTTAAATACAGTTTAAAATTTGCAGACATCAAGAACATAGTTTCAGAAAGATGTTTTGTGTATTCTTGATGACTGTATGTTTTATATACATTCAACTGACAATCAAAACCAATGGTCTATTGTTCCATCTTATGCCTTATACTCTAATACAGTTTATGGTATGACTTTTACTTATCTTTTCTGGCTACTGTATTTAAACACTGATGGATTCGAAACTATAGAGCCAGAAGGTAAATTATTAAAAACAGTGATTCGTTGAAATTACTCTTGTTCTAAGAACGATTTATAACAGATACTTCATATTGTCATTACATTGTTGCACTTTTACTTACCCATCCGATTTGTAACATTTCCTAGGGCTATTTGAAAACTTCCGTCTAGCAGTTATCACTTGTCTTCTTGCCACTGGTTTAAACGGAATTTCTTCAGTTTGTACTTTAAGTTTTTTTGCTTTTGGAGATAGAGATAGTGAAAACGTTGATGATTCATAAGGTGACTTCACTGGTGTTAACCTGTTAAATTTTGTGGGGTCAAATATAGGCATTGTCTGTACAGACAGTTTATATCCAGGTATATTAACAGGTAGGTTTGTAGGTTCAACTTTTGGACGAATATTTTTCGATAACATTTGGTGTTCATCAGTGTCATCTGATTCGACAATTGCATCAGGTGCTTGACATGACATAGATCTGTTAAGAGTTTGCATTGAAAATGAACGTGATTCACTTGGATCCATTGAGAGGTAACCCGAATCTTGAGTGGAATTCATACCCAGCTTTGGAGGATGCTGAGTATTTTTTAAATATCCTGCACCAATTCTTTTTGACTGTACAATTTGTGAAGATCGACATTTACGTACAAAGTGACTTTCATTTGCATCTTGTCTTGCACTCGATGGCTGCAGCTGACTACTTGGCTGGTCAGTAATTTCAATTTTAACTATATCCACTGTTTCATTTGATGCATCATTCCTAGGAACACTTTCCATAGAATTTGATGAAGTAGTGCCAGGTACAGCAGTCAAGTAAGTAGAAGAGATTTTTGCGTCATCAGTATTTATGGAGACGGGAATACGCCTTTCAGAAGTACTTCTACAGGGATTGGTTGACTTTAGATAGGGTGATAACTGTTTTACTTCTTGACGGTAAGATGACAAACTACCCTGTAAAAGCATAAATTAAACTAGTAAATAATAAATAAAACTGAAACCAAGTATGTTTATGACAAGTGCTTATTATATTTACCATTGTGAACCATGTTTAACTCTATCTAGTGTATAACTGATCGAAAAGTCAAGATGGTCATAATTCCAAATAACAACCATGCAACAGTAGAGTAAGTAGGAGTACTTGATAGAGTATTTATTCAAATCTACAGTTCACTATCAGTAATCTAAAATGAGTAAATTTACTATTCTTACTACTAACACTCCTCCTCCTAAGAGTCTACTCATACTCGTACTCTGCTGAAAAGGAAATGATTTTAAAATCTCACTACATTCCCCCTATTTCTCTAAATGGACAACACGCCTAAAACAATATGTTAAGCCGACTTAGACAAGCTACTTATTTTTCCACCTAAATGGCCACAGTGTTGAAGTGAGTTGTATCAAAGCCTGTAGAATAAAGTCTCATTTTATTTTCCACAAAAATACGTAGGCGACCACTTACTAAATTGTTTAAGGATGGCTCCATAGATGCTTTGCACAGCCCAACAAGATCACCAGCGGATAAACTCATTTGTTTGCTAAATGTATCGACGTTTCTTTCAGTTGGTGTGCCTTTCTGTTCCATGTCTTCATTAGAAACCTCTTTCAGGGGTGAAATTGTCCTGTCACTTGGTGAATAACTTTCTACTTTCAACTCATTCATAAATGTTTTATGCGGTGCAGAGAAAGGACGAATTAGTTCACTAGATGTCACCAGAGGTGAGACGACAGCTACATCATCAGTAGTCGGTTTCATAAGTCGATAGATACTTGGCTTGTTGAAATTAGCGAATCGTTCAAATGCATCAGTAGATGACTCATCCAGAGGGTCGGCTGAATTTGGTGTGGAGTCACGTGATAGAAATTTGCGGAAAAACTTCCTCCTTATCTGGGGATGGCGATAATTTTGGCGGTATTTTAGACTTTGTGTGCTGTAGGAAGAACGTGCCGATGATGCTGTGACTTGCCGTCGTTCTTGGCATCCTTGTTCCCCAACCTGATGACTGATTTCATCGTTTAAGCGGGATGATACATTTGACTGACTATGAAACACGCTTGGGTTGCAGGGAAAGTGTCACTTGATATATTTAAATTTAAACTTGATAAACACAGTGTTGAAGGTTTGGATTCGTTTGTATCGTCTGTGGAATTAATTTCAAATTGACATTTCTTTCTCCATTCAACCCCTTAAAACAAAAAGTTATAATAAATTTGAAAATTCTACAGTAACTTCTACAATAAATATAAAAAACCGAAATAAGAAATAAATGTCGAGAATGCAGTTTACTATTATTATTAGAAATAATAATCATTCACCTGTGAGCTTCTTATTTCTACAACTATTCACAGTGTACCAACCACATACCGAAGGTTAGGAAAGAAACGCCCGAGTACTGCAAAACTGCTCGAATAAACACTTAAAAAGTCACTTATTTGGCGGTTGAAGGCAGTCATCAGGAACCCTTCGACTTCGATTTCGTGTTTGTTGCAGTCATTAGCAAGGAGAACAATCAAAGTATCCATTACAGTCCTACGGGAGGTCAGTAGTAAACATGAATAGCTCATTAGTGACATCTCTGACTGCAGGGCTTGGTGACGGTGGTCTCAATCTCAGAAAGAATATGAACTCCTTCAAGATTGCTACTAAGCCCTGATGACGAGTACCAACAAGCACGAAACCTAAGTCCTGCCTATTGCCTCCAACTGTCTAATATCAACAATTTACAGTGAACCGTAATAGCGAGTCACTTAGCATGTCGGCCCCATTGCAAACTTGACGGATAGAATACAGTCTATACAAAACAAAGAACTAGATGCATAGCACAAGTTACTACCTAATTTCCAATAAAAAGGTTACTTAAGTCTTCACGACTTGCAAGACCTGAATCATCATACTCATTGAGTTGTGGATATGTTATTTGCTACTTTAAAAAATGTATTTGAAGATTTTGAACGGGCTTAATTTAAGGAAAATAGTTACTTTTCCATACAGAGTCACTCATTAAGTGTCAGGTAGTACAGATACTAGGTATAGCTGAATCAGCGTCATGAGAAACGTAAACATAACTGATAGCACTGGAATATAGAAAACATACATGTGGAGGATTACTGAGAGGGTATAGGGACTTTCTTACTAGAAAAAGCGGAGCACCCATCATGAGTTATCAAAGCATATATGGTGGTGTTATGAACCATTTTCTGACGTAAACGAATGAGATAGATGAAAACTTTGTATCGTAAGAAGATTTATTGCCTTATTGGGCTCCCTTAAACGAAACCTTTCTGACAACTGTTGTCTCAAAAGCTCGAAAAAATACATTTGCAGTTACTCTGATTATTTGCCCTGGGGAATAAATAAGACTCAGGAAGGTTAGTCTTCTGAGTAAGTCGAAAGCCAAATCAATCCCTCCTCATTTCTATCATTTATAAAAAATACGAAACCTAATTTAAAATATTTCCCCATTAAAAAAAATAGATTTTTCACTTACGCGAGAATCTCACGCTGACTGACGAGAAAGGCATACATTACTTCAGTGTAGTTGCTTCATAAGGAGAGGCCAATTAGAGAATCAATGAAGGCTAACGACACTGTCAAGTTATTTTGACCTAGTTTTGAAATCTTTAGCAGTACACTTTTACGACACAAGTGGGTGTCAGGCTCGGGACCTTCAGGTCAAGAGATGAGCTCATACTATCAATTTTCTAAATCCGAATCCAATATCCTACAAACCAATCATCTAAATGCAACGTAATCCTCTTCCCGATTGTTTAAATCTAGTAAGTAAAGCCCTAGTATCAAGTACCGTAAGTTAAACAGTGAATGGCTAAAGTGAATAATTTAGCTTACTGCATCAATCATATTTCCTACTAACGCTAATACTGACTATTTGACTTCCTCTGGCAACAACATTAGACTAGTTAATTCTATCTATTCAACAAATTCTATTTTTATTCAGATTACTCTTCCATTGGCATCCATGATACTGAGGAATGCCTAATATTTCATGAAGAGAGTGTAAAACAACAACAAAAATGAAAAGCAGTACAAAATATTTAAATGACTAAAGGTCTTGATTGAGGAATTTGAGTGGGAAGGGGTTGGAGGAACGAACGAAAATTTTCATTACGATAATTGTAAAGTGTTATGTTGTAAATCTGCGGGGAAAGCACCAGCTGCTAGTCTGCATTATGCTGAACCAGCGAACACCAGTCATCTGTATTTTAAGTTTTCGGTTTGTAGGTAAATGTAGTCACTAACCAAAATCATTTAAAGGATTGTTGGAAAGCAAGGAGCAGTGGGCAGCTGCCTCATCTGGGTTTGAAAATCTTCAGCAGTCAGTACTCACAACCGTATCAGGGATCAAACCATCACCATAACCATCCACCATGCAGAATTAAAAGTGAATAATCACCGGCGGCGGTAATTAACAAATTAACAGAAGTTATAATTTACTAGTCAGTGAATTCCAGCCAAGTGGTTGAACAGTCAAACAAATCACCCAACACTCTGAAAGTTCAGGCTTCAATTTGTGATGGGATGGCTAACTACGCTGCCGAAAAGTCTTGGACTAGGACGAAATGGATGTTCAGTGCCGTATGGTTTTCAGTAATTTTTAACTGACTTACGTCACTTTGTGACAGAATGTGGATTGAGGTTAAAGACGTGTTTATTTCGGTAGAAATCAGAATTTGGCATAGATTACTCTTAGATATTGAACAAAAGATGTATTGCATGCTAGTCTGACGACATCCGATCACATTACAAACCTTATATATGGAGATCAGTCAAGATAGTGAGATAGTAAGCAAATTATTAGATTGAATTGGATCCGTATAATGGTCAGTTCCCTTGGTTAGAATGATACATAAGGATTTTCGGTGTGATCATTCAGGACTAAAATATGATGGTAAAACGTCTGTTATTGTACCGTTGTAGGCAACATCAGAACTGTGTACTTCATATGAACTGAATGATAATGTTAATATCTGCAATCCACTTAACGGTAATTAAAAGTTAAGCTTTGGCGGTGTATGTTCTAATAAATCATTTCATTCATTCTGCTTATAGTCTTTCGGTTGCTTTCACAATATGATCCTTTCGGAAGAGGTATTTACTCTAGTTTAAGTCAGCTGGAATGGCTCTTATTACATCTCTGTACAATTCAATATGAGAAGACATACCTGACTTTAGATAGACTAGTTCTTATGATTTCATCAACAGCTGCACTCTGTTAGTTTTTACATACACATACGTTTATCGTCTACAAGTGCGGATAGTCAAACGATTTTCACTTCCTTAACTAATAAGTTGATTCTTTCCAATACAGCATAAGCAACATCCTTAATCGTGTCATCAAGTTAAGTGGATTAGACGTCCCATGAAAGAGGAAATTTCATTGAATTTACTATCCGCATCATAGCTTACTTCATTTCGCGTTTATTGATTTGGGTAATTGAATATCGAGTTGAAAGATAATTGGTTAAAATGTGGACTCAAAGAAAAATGACACGTCAGTATTCAGTCATGTTGATAACTAAGAAAAGTTTCAATCATCTACAACTCGGCTTAACAGAATCTTAGACTGAAGCGGAATTAAAATCTAGTTGTCTATTCGGTGTCACCTTCAAGTCATAAACACCTAAGCAAAAACCTAATAGTCTGTAATAAGATGAAATACCTGCTCTGTACTCCGATGCCATCTCTCACCACATAAATTACACAGAAATGATGACTGTCTCTGACTCTACGAATTTTAAGTTAAAGAGCGCTACTACCTGTTTGTCTGATTGCCATCTAACCAACTGTACAGACACATATGACGACTTAATACATTGTCGTAATTCTATTTGTTATTTGTGTATATGTAACAATGACTAAGTGTACTCTCATTTAAAATGTGGTATGCGTTTCCATCAAGAATAATGTAAACTAGTTGCATTTTTAGTTTCCGAAAACAGCAGTTTCTGTGTCTGAATTCTGCCCTTAGAATTATTACAAAATTACTATACCAATTCTTGTTCATCTGTTCTGACTCTAAGTGTAGAAACTAATTTATAATTCAACTAGAAAATGTTAAAAAGAGGTAATATTAGACTATTTATGAGAATTTAACTCACCTGGTTGATGAAACTGTGGATCAAGTTGAAAAGCTAACTCTCTTGCTTTGTCAGATAAATGGAGAGCTTTCTGTATGATAGACATTGCTAATTCAGAGGATTTACGCGCTTTTAACGCTCTGTAAAATAGTCATGGAAAAAAGGAGTATTATTTAAGTGTTAGAAGTGGGATTTATTTAAAAATATGGTCTAGTTCTTCAAAGTAAAAATTATTTTTTACATGAATGACACTAGAAAGACATAAATTAGAGTTGAAGTATAAATAAACCGCTTTCAGGTGAATGAGTTGTATACCAGGAGGACAGTTTTACTTATGACAAGTCCAGTAATTTATCTCTGTTCATTGTCAGAATTCATATTTGTCATGGACAGAAAGAGGATTTTCACTTACAATATTTTAACCGACAATTCTACTTACTGCTGATATTTGAGTAATAGAATTGATTTTTTATTGACAAGACTTTTAACTAACGATACATACTAAATTAAGCATGTCATGATTCTTGATCTTGTTAGTACATTATCCTATAGCATTCAGAAGTAAGTTGGGATTAGCTTTTTTCTTCTTACAATATTTACTTACTTCACTCCTTGAAAGAACTGATAGGCCTTTTGATCATCTAATCAGAAACATGTACCAAAAAGCTTACGTCTAAAAGGAACAAATGCTTTTAAACAGTGCCACCGCCAGGCATCTCTTCGACACGGGTCATGAAGTGGAAATCGAAAAATCCTTTGAAATTATCAATAGACAAAGGAGCCCCATTCTCCTCAAGTTTGTCCAATCAATTTCTATCAGACGCTTCAAACCAGATTTATGCGTTCAGAAAGAAGCAGTTATCAGTCTTTTCTTGCCCTGGTAACTACATGTCTTTTTTCTCTCATCTGATTACGTAATCTTTGTCTTTGACCTCACCCCTCTTTTTTTTCATTATCTGTAGTTTTGCTTGTCTCTTGTTTCTATAACGTGAGTTGAACTCAGTACATTTATTAGTTACTCATCACCTTACTCACCTCTCGTCTTTATTACATAACTCCTTTACCATTGTATGCATACATTTATTTTGTTTAAACTTGAACTGTCTGTGTAAAAACTATATAAGCACATTTTTTGAGCACTGTTCACTAATTGTGGAACTTTCTATCAACTAACAAAATATAAACTTTGCAAGTATGTTTAAAAACGTTTCTGTACGTAAACCTCATAATTTATTTAGGCTGTGCGCATCTGATGAGAAGCCAACGAAATAAATCATGGTATCATATTATTCTGCACAAACCACTGTTGTTCTTGCTTTCTTCAAATTCATCAAGGGGAATAAATGCATGAAGTTACTCAAAAAAGAAATGAAAGACCCCTGTTATAGAGAATAGAATCAGATAACCAGAAATAAGGTGTTCGATCATCATGGCGGGTTCTCTGTAGATACATTAAGATGTCAGTGAGTTGTTAAAGTAGTATTCTAATACTGTACTATTTGAAGCAGTGAGAAATTCGCCTGTCTACTAACATAATGCATTTTGTTAGATATTATATGTCAATCGACTGATAGCCCTACATATTTCTATTGATTTGATAGTGTGAAATATTCCCACATCATGAATTAAAAGTCAATCTGAACGAAGAATATTCTTTTCAATAATTTCTCCTCTTCAGGTCCTCACAATTATAAAATATAATATTTATTGTCGTTACAATAATGGCCAGTTATGCGGTAGATACATTATTAACATAGAATAACAGATTAGTTATGGGGTGTCAAAATATATAGTCGTATTTGTGTGACAAACGTGCTAGGCTGAAATCGAGCACAAAATATTGTAAAATCAGAGACAATGGTGGTGATTAGTCATAATAGATTTGTAGAGTGTGGGGTAGGAAAATGGACAAGTCAGTTCAAGGTTATAGAAGGTGTCAGTTGAGTGGCTATTACAAAGTGGACTGTTTTAAACAGGGGATAGTAAGACTTCAGTGAGAGGTTCATAATGAAATAACGAATGTGTGAAATGAAACAGGTGGATGCATATATTGAGAAAAGAAATAATATCACTAATAATATGTTCGGATAGTATAAGTGGAAAATTCGATAGTATTAGGAAATACATTGCATCACTTGATGTTTCATTTCTATTCACTAATGTGCCTCTATTGGAAACCATCTGTTATATCTGCGAACAGATTATAGAAAGGAAATTTGATATTCCTATCAATAATCTGAAACAACTACTTGTTAAATGTACAATAAATGTTCAGTTCTTGTTTAATAATGAAAAGTACAGACAGGTTGATGCAGTAGCCATGGGATCCCCACTGGGACCTATTTTCACGAACATATTTCTAGCAAAACTAGAAAATGGCCCGTTGAAAGAGGAAATAGCAAAAAGGAAATGTATTGTCGTTACATGGATGACACTTTTGTAGTGTATGATGAAGGGTTAAGTAGTGATTTAATTTTGAGCAACTTCAATAATGCTCACCTAGCAGTCCATTTCACCTATGAAGAAGAACACAACGACTCTTTACACTTCCTCGACGTCCTGATAACGAGAAGAGAGGATGGTTCCGTCAAAAGAACCATATTTAGAAGGCTAGAGACCAAAGCTCAGTATACACATTTCCTTAGCTTCGCACCGATGAAATACAAACGTAATCTAATCAGATGCTTAGCATTTAGAGCGAGGTTTATTTGTTCCGAAGACTGCGTAGAGAAAGAACTCCAGGTCATCCGAGACATTCTAAGCGAGAACAGATATCCAGAGAAATTCATTAAAGCCAACATAGGTTACAATAGTCGTAAACATGAACTGGCAACGGTGGAGAAAACACCTCTGTTCTTACGTCTCCAATTCAAAGAAGATACTCCTGCGGAGATTCTATCACAACGTTTAACCAGGGTGACCAAGAAAACTTTCTACTCTGCACGTCTGTGTCTATCCTTCAGTAGCCATTCAACGTTCACCCAGCAACTTAGAGATGCCTTACCTAACCTTAGCTCTTCTTCATGCACATACCATTCAACTGTTCTTGAGGTTCAAGTTATAAAGGGCGCACGATAAGACAGGTTCGTCTACGGGTTCGAGAACATTTATCAGCTTGGTTCAGCAGGGGGGAAATTAAGTGCATAAAAAGCTCGATCCTGTCACACTTGGTCTATACTGGACATCATATCGATGTCAACACAGCTTTCATGGTTATATACCGAATTCCGAAGTCGTTATCACGTACAGTTCGCTTACGTCTCCTACACATAGCTGAAGCTGTTGCAATAAGATCGACTAAACCGGAACTTTGTATCCAAAATGAACACGTCCAAACGCTGTTCCTACCGTGGCCAAACTTGGATTGATGATTGGTCTTATTACCAATATTCCTCCTTCCCCTTAACCTCTTGGTTTTTTTTCTTCCTTTGCTTTTTATTATGACTATTATTAATAATATTATTCGTCATAATTTATGCCCTTCATGCAAACATTCTCTCAATACTATCGAATTTTCCATTTATACTATCCGAACATATTATTAGTGATATTATTTCTTTTCTCAATATATGCATCCACCTGTTTCATTTCACACATTCGTTATTTCATTATGAACCTCTCACTGAAGTCTTACTATCCCCTGTTTAAAACAGTCCACTTTGTAATAGCCACTCAACTGACACCTTCTATAACCTTGAACTGACTTGTCCATTTTCCTACCCCACACTCTACAAATCTGTTATGACTAATCACCACCATTGTCTCTGATTTTACAATATTTTGTGCTCGATTTCAGCCTAGCACGTTTGTCACACAAATACGACTATATATTTTGACACCCCATAACTAATCTGTTATTCTATGTTAATAATGTATCTACCGCATAACTGGCCATTATTGTAACGACAATAAATATTATATTTTATAATTGTGAGGACCTGAAGAGGAGAAATTATTGAAAAGAATATTCTTCGTTCAGATTGACTTTTAATTCATGACATTTCTATGGGACTAGTAAAACTTAAAATTATTGGTCATAATTTTTGTTAAAAGTCAACCCTCCAAAGGATGGGTAGTCATCTGGAGTGCCTATGAACTTTGAAAGCGGATGAAAACAATCTCCCTGTCATATACTGACTCCACATACTCCACATACATTAGTATTTCTCAAGTCAACCTGAAGGTAAGTGGCCTTTTCTAGTAATTAACTCTAGGTTGCTGTTTAGTTTCTTTGCTGATATCTTTTTGGTAATCCACATTCCTAAACATCTTAATAATAATTTACATGACGTACCAGAATTTTACTTTTCCTGTGTTTAACACTGAGGCAATATATTTTCTAGTTTTGCTTTGTTGTTTGACATCGAAATGGCCGGCTGCCTCTCAGAAATCCATCGATTATTTTTATACCAACATATCGATCGAGAAGCACGTCAGTATTTCAATTGCTTCCAATAAAACTGTACACTCAACTGTGTAATTATTAGCATAATGTATCTAGTCTAATCTGAGTACATTAAAACGATCACCGTTATAGCGTTTGTCTCTAAAAGCTTATTTCCATAGCTGAACTTAAAATCAGTTCCTAAATTATTCGTTCGAAAAGAATATTTTTCTATTCCTTTACATTCCTAGTGGATTTGGGTCTTTAAAGCAAGAGGCTTGAAGTTTCAGCAGCAGCAGCAGTTGCATTTATTTTTACGGAATGGGGTTGCTAGCCTCATGACCAACCTTCCCTCTTTACCAGTCTTATTACTGCCTTAGCGGGGGGGGGCGGGGGGTCGAACCCCAAACCACTTCTGTGGTTGCCGAGCATTCTACTCCTGTGTCCCCGACTCGTTTGAAATGAATTATATTCCAGTTGAATAAAAAGACTTTGAATTTTCACAAGTGGATTACTGTATGTCAACAAATCTCTTTTTCTGGGGTCAGTTAGGAGTTATTTGATATAACTCACAGTAATACATTAATAATAAATACATGACGTTTTCACCACAGCTTATTGCTCAAAATCATATCAGTTTATTCAAACAGCTTCACAATTCACTTTCTCTTTCCTCTTCGTCGTTTATTGAAATTCTCTGTGTATCCGGTATAGACACTGTGTCATTTCGACTGCACGTGTTTATTATTGATTCTATGAACAAAGTTTCTGTGGTTGACATCTTCTCCAACTATAACACTTTTTAATATTCTTATCCTATCACACCCCATAGTGTGATTACCTGCAAAAGAATGCCTGGCAATGGACGAGCTGTCTTGCAGATTTTTTAACTTAGTGGAGTCAATTATTCTGGGTCTCGTGAAATTTCTATGTTCCCATAATCTAAATGACCCCGATCTGTTAGTTTAACCTATGTAACTGACACCACATTCATTATATGGTATTTGGTAAATTATACAACTTTTATTAATTTGATCTATCGGGTCCTTGAGCCAACAGAGTTTATCTCTGAGACGGACTCTAATACCAGCCTTATTATGAATTCTACATAGAGCCTCTGATGTTCCTTTTCTATATTGCACTAATACAGTGTGCTTGAATTACATATTATTTATTTTCATAATTTTCATTACTATTTTCAATTTTTCAAAAGGTATTGATACATTTTTGCACGGATTCTGGTGGGTAGCTTTGCCTTTTTGTTTAATTTGGTTATTTAAATCTTCTGACTTATTATTTAGTCTCCTGACGCGATTATAATAACATCTAACTAGATTTACCTACACTACTTTTGGCTGGGATGAATTAAAGTTCAAGTATTAATTAGAATGTGTCGGTTTCTTGTGAACACTTGTATCTAGCCCATCATCTAGTTTTCGTTTAAATTTACCGTCCAGAATGGCCAACTCACCTTGTTCATTTTTTAGCTCAAAGGTGAATTGGATTTCGTCTACTACTGAGTGTATGTGCTATGAACTTAGGGATTTCAGCACATTTATTAGTATTGCATCACTGTGTGTTATATCAAATGAACTCACCTACCACAGTACCCGAATTCCACTTTTACGTTAGAACGTTAAGTATCAGTAGAATTCATCAACTTCATGAAATGATAATCCTTGTGCCAAACTAAAATTTAAGAAATAACTGAACTTGTTCAATGACAGTGAATATGAATGTAAATAAGAACAAATTAGACTCAAAGTATTTGACTATGCATTCTGTTTCATTAAATAAGATATATTTTGGAATAAAAAATAAAAAGGGGAATTGCGCATTATGGATTTTTCACTTCAGATTAACTTTTACTACTATATCTTATGATTATTTGAAAACAAATCCCACGAATCTACACTCCTGTTCAACTAAATTGGGATCTTTAGAAAGCCAGACAGCCTATCAGTTGGCTAGCTAGTTTTTGAGTGGTCTGAAAAGTTTGATTTACTAAAACGAGTTGACTAATTTTAACTGCAGATGAGCCCTTGCTTAAGTGAATTCAACAACCACCTGACGCTTATTTCAACATTGTGAGGCGGGAAACATTTCTGCTTAAGCATAAAAAGCTCATATTCTTCATCATACTCCAATGAAATACAGCTAAGTTGCAGTAACGACCACCGGGTTTTACTATAAGGAATATGCACAGGCGTAGTACATTATTCACAGATCACAGAAAATTAATCCATCAAATCGTCAGTTAGTTGATTCAGGTATGAAATATATTCGCCTAGGTTTTATTAGCAAAAGCTGTATATCATTGCAAACATCAAAAAGACCATTCCTGCAAAATCACTAACCTTTCTCTTGCTTCTTCAGAAGCTACTAGTTTGGCCTGTTTTGCTGCTGCTTCAGCCCGAAACAGAGCATCTTCTACACATTCTTTTAGTTTTGTTTGACGCACCAAGTGCAATTTGCTCTTACGGTTTACTTTATTAACTAAATTATTTGCTTGAAATTGTCCTTCATCACGTGTACCATTTGGATTAATTATAATTCCGTAACCATGCTTTTGGTTTCTAGTCCATTCACCAATATAAACAAAACCGTTGGAGCGTTCAGCTATGCCATACCCAGATCGTTGATCTTGAAACCATTCACCAGCATATATTTCGACAACACTAATCACTTTATCCTTCTCAGCTTCAGGCTGGTCAGTCTTTTCACCACTGGATGAATTGATACAACCACCTGAACTTTGTTGCTGTGGTGTTTCACCTGGTGTCAGTGGCTGCTTTACTCTAGGAGGTGACGTTTTGGGAGTACTAGAAACCGCTGTTCCATTTACAGTGGTAGGCTGAGTTGTTGTTGAACGACCTAACTCGATAGCAGAATGTTGCTTTTTCAATCGACGCATTATTGCTCTACCAATTACTGCTTTACGACTTACTGATGTTGTTTCATTCGACGGTAAATTAGCAGTAGAACTGTGCCGTTTCTCTGACGTTACAGGAGATTGACTAGTGGAGGGAATCTTTTTATTCTCGTCACTCGATGTAGCGGGTAAGGTACTACAAGGGCCACAGCTAACTACACTGCTAGTGCACAGCACATCTTCATTGCTACATTTTGTTGGTGAAAGATTGGCCATTGAATTATCTGAGAATGAATTTGCTTTATAACTAATAAATGATTTACGAACACCAAGACCATGACGAAATCCTTTTGACCATGCTCCAGCATAAATACCTACAGAAAAAATATATAAATACATGTATGAGTAGAGAGCATAACGAAATAAACACTTGAAAGTTTATAATCATTTTTCAACTGTTTTCATAATGTGATGTGCATTAGCGTCTGTCACACTGTAAGTTATGTCGTGGACTTTTATTTTGAAATTATCAATGAGCTGTAGGACTTATAATCTAGAAGAAATGTGGAATGTAGTCATTAACGTAAGTGATTATTACACTGTAATTCACTTATCGTCCTAATGCCAGGTGTTGCTAGTCAACTGACAAGAATTTCATCATTCGTAAGCTATTCAAGTAACAGATCTCACCAGTGAGTTTTCTCCTGTTTGCACGGGCATCTAGGTGAAGGGTGCATCAAAGATACTTCAAAGATACCAGGATACTGTACCAGTTGCAGCATATAACTTTGTTTTTCACCTAGTATATATTTTAGTCAAAGCTAAAGACTAAAAGACTGAAAGAGTTCTCATCAGGTCACCAATTCCAAACAGACTGTCATAGAAAAGTACAAGGTTTGCCATCATTCTGCCTGCTAATTCAAATCCATTTATTTTGGATCGTACAGACGTAAATTAGATTAGAAGGAATTTTTAATTCTGAAGTAAATTAGACTGACGAATCAGCTTACAGAGGGAATGATGATAGATCAGGTTGTCAGATGTCAATTTCGAATGAATTTTCACAAGTTAATTTTATTCACAATAGATTACATACAATTAACTGCATTAAAGTTGCTAGGGTGCATTAGTAAATCGTTCTCCCATAAAGATAGTAAGTAAGAATTGATCACTCCGTCTATTCGTGGAATGTTACTTGGCTCACTGAATTTTTTCATTATATCCGTTCACTCTAGTTATTTCCTTTGAAGTGTATTCGCTTTACGCCTGATTAAGTGTACTAAAATTTTTTAATCAGTGCAACTGACGTATTTTTTTTTCAGTAACGCCTGATAGCGTAAATGATGCGAATTAGTGATAACAGTCAGCCGGCCAATCGAAACGCAACTGACCAATCTTAGTAACAGTCGAGACTGACCAATCAGGAGGGAGATAAAGTAAGAATGTTCGTGAATTTTCGAATTGAAACATTTTGAGTCGTAGATGCCTATGGAAAACTTAATCAGTAATCAAAGTGAAGCTGAAATTGGAAATTTTCACTCCCAGAAGTCAACCAGAGTGTAAGACAACTGTCAATTGCTCTGTCTGAATTAAAGCTGAAAACAGACCTTTACGTAGTACGTTACTGTTGGTTTGATTCGTTACTTATCTGACAGGAGGGCAGCCTCTGATCCCAAATCTCAGCCAGTGTTCATGTGCATAGTTTATGAAAGTGCTAAATACTTGTATATTTTATTAATAATTAAATCCATTATCTGAGGTTTAATTTTTAAACCAAAACGGACAAATAGAAGCCAAAATTTTACTTAAGTTATTCAAATACATCAAGGTGATTTTGTTTAAATTCCATCCCTCTCAAAATCCTACAGGTATGAATAGCCAAGTAGCATGATGTACACCAACAGCCACCAGATGTCTTACAGTGACCACTGTTCTTTTTAATTCACTTCAATCAGTTTCAGGGTTTAACCTCCCCATACTAGCTAATAGACAATCTAACATATCATCCACTATTTCTTTTTAATTGGTCACAGAGATTAGGTGTATATGCAAGAGGCATAATCTAGTTCTTAATTACAACATTTAATCCCAAGGGCGAAGTTAAACTTTCGACACCACTAACTTCCAATCAGCGAATTATCCAATGAGATTCACGAACGATGTCGAATTATCTAATGAGGTTCACGAACGCAGTTCAATGCTGTATAGGGCTTGATTCATTTCTGATGCGTGACCTTACAAGGCTACTGTTGCAATTCGAGGAAGTTAGTGTTTTCCAGTATTTCCTGGATTTGAGTTGCTCTGGAAAGAGAGAATTTGTTTGTGTGGTGTTTAAAACAAAGGTTTTTTTACCACCTTTAAGGTAAGGCGACAGTGCTGAAAGAAATTTGGGATGAAAAAAAACGGCCAGCGAGCGAACAATATTTCGGTAATAGGTTTTTGTGACACCTCCCTCCGAAAGGGATTCGTCGAAAGGATAGCAGATGGAAAAGCATTGACAGTCCCATGCTAAACTGGGAGATGTTTCTCTCACATGTTCGAGAAAGATATCCCATGTAACTATTTTATTCTCTATTTTGTGCTTTTTTTTCTATAAATATAGATTTCCATTCATCATATATGCCTCTTTAATGTTATTGGTTCCTTCAAGGTCGTTTGCTGATTGGTTGTTAGTAGTGTCTAAAGTTTAACTTTGCCATTCCAAGTTATCATGTGCATAAAATGAATATTATCCATCAAACAATATAAGAGACTGTTTTCTGTTTTAATACTCGCCTACTGTACAAAGCATATCTAAATGGTGTGTGCCGAAGAAGTTCAAGGACGGGCAAGCAATTTCAAGCCATTTGAAAACTAGGATATCAATTTACGCTAAACAGAGAAAAAAAGGTTGCATGATTGGGATACCAAGACAGAAGTATGTACAGTAAAATACAGATGAAAACAGCTCTTGATTTTAGGTGATATACATTCATATTGAGCAGAACAGGGTTTGAAAACACCATGAAGAAAATACAACCTCTTCCACAGATTTTCTCTGAAAGTATTGCAAGTCTGTCTGTGTCAGTCAATAAATGCACTAAGAATATGTCTTCTGAATAGTCTTCCTTCAGACCTTACTTAGTGGCTTGTTTCATTTGGGTTTCACTTCACTGCTGTTAAACAACTGTACGTTCAGGGAGTGTTTCTCTCATCATAGTTTCAAAATACTTCCTTTTTTCTGCAGGTTTCAGATGGGAGAGATGGTAAACTGTTCTTGTTTCCTGTGATGGATGTATTACCATAAGTGATTCTCAGTTTTCATAGGATATTTCACTACGAATATAGTTCAACTAATAGATAGATTTAGTCAAAAAATAACTCTAGTTACAGGTGACAGAGAAAACTAAAGAGCTGTTTTATCCTTTTATGAGTTTTCTTAGCAGTACGAAGTACTATCGGATAAGAAATTGTATCCAGAATGTAAAGGTTACGTGGGAAGCACATCATCATTCAGCAAGTGGGCTCAGGAGCTTGTGAAGTCGAACTACCACCTACTCAAGATATATAGCCACCGCTGTTTTTACAGTACTACACTGATGTGATTAGTTTAGTGACTGATTCTGACTCGCGGTGAAATACATGAAATCTCGTAAACGAAACATCTGAACCTATTCCCTTAATTTCAGTAGTAAAGAGTGAAAGAGGTTGTAGTATTTCTTAAAACATAAACTGTCACTTTTCTGTCGGCTTGTTATTACTGATTAAAATTCCTCCCCATCCGCTTTATTTTGTCAGTCACAGATGAAGACAAATTTTAATGAAAGCTGTTACTTATTAGGCATTGTCAGCCACTAGTGAGCAGCGGTATTTCCTCTAATTGATATGTCCTGCACGCATTTTGTAATAGTCTAATTCTTAATCTGTGGAAAATCCACATTATCACATTAACACCAATGAGAAAAATACTTTCGATTAGTTTTATTGCTCAGATTGACAGACTATTCAGATACAGTAGTTAATCATCAGGAAATTCAGGCTTTCTTTCTTGCCTAACATTTATGGCATTAAGTAAGTCACATATTGTGATCCGGATAATTTGGTTTCCAAAGAAACTGTGGTGAAGTTTTATTCCCTCAAACTGTGTAAATGGAAAGTCTAAAATTTCGGAATGCCGTGTTACTGGGTCAGAACCCCTTACATTAAGGATAACCAATAACGTTTTCTTCTCCAGTCACATTATTATAATTAAGTAGGTAGTACTGAAATTGAATGTCATTCTTTTATCATGAGCTGACATTAGTTAGAGAACCATTGGAAAACCTGAGACTACTGGACAGCTGTTTCATCATAGTTTAGGACTCTTCAACAGTACGCACCCACCGCCAGGGTTCGAACCCAGGACCTTCTGGTCACAAGGCGAGCTCGTATACCATACCAACACTTGTCATTCTTTTGTCATGTTGGATACACATCAAGTGAGTGTAAGTAAGCTCCAGTAGATTCATCGCTAACCGTTTAACAATTTATGCAGTCTGAAACACAACTGATTGGTAATTTGTAATTGGTAGCAGTAAGAACAACTTAGGAGTTAATCCAGCATCCCTGTGTCTGGGATGATATTTATTAAATACCAGTCATCCAAATGAATAAAGCCAGCCCACAAATGTGGGTTCGTTTAAATATTTTACTGATTGTGACTACAGAGTAATTTCAGAGCGTGTTAAAATACGATAGTCATGCGTGCATGCGCACAAAAAGTTATTTTGGTCATGAACTTAACTACAACAGGAAATTATAAGTTAGACTGCATGTGATTATCTCATAGTAATGATACTCTGAGACTGTCTCACTGCGAACACCACCACATAATGGTGTTATGGATTCCCTGGAAATCAAAAAATTGAAATTACGGTGACAGAACGCTAAGTTATTATCAGGCGATATTATCTTTATCATATATCTGCCCTTATATTGTGGGTAGAAACAGCCAGTTTTACTACCGATATGACTGGAGTAAAGAACACAAAATTACCATGAATAATTTTATATTTTTCTTGTACAACTAAGTCTCTTACTATGTAGATTTATAAGATTAATATTTTATTTATTTTTTTTATTTTTGGTAAAAGCTTGATTTCACACTGTATTTTTGGTACAAGTATGGAATTTTCAGCGTGGATATCGGTAGCCCAAATTTCGCAGGCCGACCATAGATATCTGGTGTGCGCCAGTGTGGGCTCGAACCCCGGACCATGTGCATGGTCGTCGAGAGTCCTAACCACTGTGCCACCGACGCACACATCAGAATGAAAAAGTATATTTTGATAGACTGCCACAGTGATTGTCGTAGCATCAGACATATTGTGGTGATGTGATACAGACAATGTGTTCCAATGGAATATTATTCACACATATTCCCACAGCTCACTACTGCATTACCAACAGAATACTATGTATACCTGGACATTCTATTTCATGTCTTTTAATGTAAACCAAAATCACGTGCTCAGTGATTAGTTAACGAATATAAACTGTATGTATATTAACAGCGGTTTGAATAATGAAAAATATACCTTGGTTTTCGTGTTTTGTCTTCTGTTGTTACAATAGGACGTGTGAGCCACCCTTTGGCATAATTATGTTGCCCGACAGTTTCACTCAAGTGAATAAAGTTCACAGTGGGCAGACGACCACACCTCTTAAATAATGAAATTTAAAGGACTACCAAACAAGCAATGGAAGCATACACTTTACTCTCCGCAATGGTTACAGCCTACATAAGTGACGACTACATCACTTCATCTTTTCCAACAAATATCTGTTATATGATGATTACTGTGTGCATATTATATATTATTATATTATATTATTCATATTGTAAATAAAAATGAAACGATAAATAAAAGAACCATCAGATGAAGACTAATTCTCTCTTACTTCCATCTGCACAAGTTTCGATTCCAAAACCCTCGAATCTGTTTAAACTCCAGCTACCTTCATATTTTGCCTGACTGTTAATGGAGGTTTTTACACCATATTGACCAAATGCACCTGCATTAAATTCTCCTTGATAAATCCATTTTCCTCTAACTTGGACACCGTCACCATGGCGTTTGCCTTTGATCCATGTGCCAGCGTACATATTACCATTTGGCCATAAGTAGACTCCACACGTTTCAAAGCCCAAATTCCATTCACCAGAATATTCGCCAACTCCATTCGGTCCTGTAGCTAGACCGAGTCCATGAGCTGAACCTTGATACCAGTTACCAATATACGTCCCACCGTCGTCAAAATCAAAACGCCCACCGTCTGTATTCATTAGTCGGCTAGTATTTACAGTGGCGCCGAAAATTTATGTCACTGTTACTATACGAGAATATCTTGAGATTTGCATGATGGCTTGAATACACTGTCACATTCTAAGTGAAAGCTGCAAATTTAATAAAGTTAAAAGGTAACATTGATTAAAACTATATGAAAAATGCTAATGAAATCAATTTTAAAATAAAAAAGGTATCGCGCGGGTCCAGGTCCCATTTCTTTTGGACGCACTCCAAACCTCACCTGGCAGATAATAAACCTAGAAAAGAGGTAAAGTTAGATATAAGGCCAGTTATTCAATCAATAGAAACCGCACTTTCTCTACTGAAACTCCAAGACTTTAAGCCCTAAGCTCAACAGGGTTTGAAAGGGATGAAAAACAGATTTCAGATGAATCGTCAGGCAAAATCATTTCGGAGTCAAGCATATAGTTTCGACTTGAAATGACTAAAACGTTTAGTATTAGTTTAAATGAGGGAAGTCAGAGGATAGTAAACAGGCTACACGTTGTACACTAGTATTTTATATGGTTATAATCCAGCTTGATTGCAACACTTTTCATTATGATACCTAGCTACTGAGAATGTAGTGTATTATACTTAGTAGCTTCATTAGTCGTTAACAAATTAAAATTACTTTATTATAGAAGTTTGCGTAAGATGGATCAGCCAACCGTGAATAAACAGGATCGATAAATTTAAAGTCTCTAGAGGAACGTACAGCTTACAAGGGAATTTTTCATGATAGAATAAACATTTGACGGAATACTATAGTTTCTGTTGTAAATCAGACAAAAATATTGTTGTTATTTCCTTAATAGCCTTTAGGAAGACGTTAAGATACAATGCAATCTGTGTCTCACAACATTCGTTACAATTTACATAGACGATACACAAAATAATGCTGGAAATATGGCATATACTTATGGCTTTGATGGCTAGTGTTTTGATATAAACATGATTTTTACCGTGAAATTCAAGAAAGATTAAAACAAGTAGACAAACTGTAAATCAGCAGTCTCGTTGTGTAAAAAATTAGTTGCTAACTATCCACGAGTCGCTTTACGTTTATGCCCACATTTCCTCAGGACAACAAGTAAGGTTTTAATTGGCTTTAAATAACTGTGCAGATCCTAGTTACTGAACATTTTGTTAAAGTTCTCTTTACTGGTGTCTAAAAGAAATTAAATAGTTTATCAGTCACGCTTTCAGTTGGAATAAATTTCTAATTTCCACATGTTTTAGATTCATTTTCTACAAAATTCTACACCTAATAAAAAGTATTCAAATATGAATGAATGTACGTTTGTATCAAATCGCTTCTGTACAATCCTGCAACGGAGTGTTCATTTGTTTTCCTTGTGAATGGTTATGCATTCAGTTATTTCTTGTCTTTCACACTTATTTCTGTTGATGTGACATTGAGCTGAGTTTACGTCCCACATATTGTTGACTTCTAAGAAAGTGTTTTGTCTGACCTTCCTTATTAAGAAGTTAGGACACTCAAGAATAACTCAACCTCTACTTTTAAAGTTTGTTAACTTTTGCATCTTACCTTTTGTTCTTTATTGCTTCCCCTTGGGCTTTCCAGTTTACACAAAAAGGTCTATGTCACATTGCAAAAGGTAATCAAGGTTGTCATTAGGGCAAGTAGTGTGCTACTTAGTCAGCCCGTCACAACTGAACTCATGTGAAGACTGGCTCAAATCCGTATTGTCTGATTCTGAAAATCCCTCACTATTTACAGCCATCCCCTAACATCTCATCAGATAGGACTCGAAGTAATTATAAAAGATTAGATGCTGGCACAACTAGACACAAAAAGTCAACGATACCGTATTCGGTTGGCGTTCTTTGTGAGAGAAATAGTGTTAAGTGTGAAACTTACAACTTACTATGTAATAAGCAAAGGAAGCGACTCTTTTATCTTTTCCTATTTGTAATTTATGTTGACACTATTTCAATTATTTTACAATTTTGGTTATTAACATTGTTATTATTATCATTATTATTGCATGCTTTCTGTACATTCTTAACTTTATTGTTACTGTTAATGCCAAATTATCAATTTTGTGTACCCATACCATGTAATGTATTCCGATTTTAAGTGGTCCATGAAATAAATTAAATTTTATGAAAATTTGTCCCCCCAAATATAAATTGTTTCACTGATTATTCATATTTCTAATTGACAGTGAGAAATTAACATACGTCATAATTGTTTTTGTGACCTAATGATATCTACTGGGGACCGGGCTCATATCGAGTGATAGGTAGTTGGATATTGCATTTTAAGGTGCATTATTCAGTGATATGTAACCATGGTTTTCTTATAAAATATGTATTACTTTCCCGATTATAAACAATACTTACTGTTCAGTTTTTGGTTATTAAAAGTGGGAAAAAAGATGAGTTTCACCCTTTTTTATATTAAATCTATTTTAATTAGGGTCAGTTAATTAGATGCATACTTTAAACGCATATATAGTGATATACACAGAAAATACCCATATGCACACACTGAGACAAAAGAAAGGAGGACAAAATTTACTTGATATGCATCTATTAACTGCTATTCATAATTCAAGTATAATGAAAATTTTATTTCTGGTAGGATTTCGCTGGTAGTTCGAATCATTTTCATGAATAAGATTTATTTCAGCTTAAACGCTTATTATCTAATAAAATATGAAATTAAGGCAATATAATGTATAAGAGGGAAAGAAGGGAAAAAGGACAGAAGACATCGTCTTTACAATAAATCGAATTAAACTGAATTATTTCACACTTGTTGACCCCTAATTGAATCAAGAATTGATTTTTATCTTTTATTTCATTGGAAATAGTAAAGAAGAGAAGAAGGAGGCGAACGAATAGACGAATCCACGTGTGACAGTCAAAGTGGAAAAGAAGAACAAGAAGAAGAAGAAGCTCTGTTCAACGTAATCATGATCTCACCTCACCCGCGTGTGGATCTTATATTCAACATTGAAATATTAACAAATTCTGAAGAAATATTCTTTTATTTTGTGAATAAAATTCAGCTTCAAAATTAAACAACCTTTCTGTCTAAAATTTCATTGAAAAAATTTCTTCTTTCTGTCTACTATTCAGTCATACTCTGTAGGAAGGTTGAAAATCTCAGACTGGACAGGGAATGCAAATCGAATTTCCATCTTATCTGCAACATACTTGTCATTTGAATTTCCTACTATAATTTACTAGTAATTTATTATAGTTTGAGTCTGTTTATCGTGAAAAATTTATGATATGCTTGTATGTGCCATTGGTAGACTTATGCAACTGGAAAGCAATATAACTCCTGTTAAGTGATGGATAACTGATCTTCCTCTCCTTCAACAGCTGTAAGACCAAAATGAGTGATTTGACTCATAAAATTGAACTATTCAGACTGTTGGGCAAAATTTGTGATGTCATCCTTCTAGTATAAATCATTTAAGGTTTGCTTGATCTTAAGCAGAAAGTATCGATTTTCTTCCACACAAAATAAACGAAACACAAAAAAGACCCAGCAACAATGAACAACTTCTGCTTAGGCAGATGTCTACATGAGAACTTGAAATATGAGTAAAATATTTGACCAGAAGAAGGTTAAACCACATGTGCAACTGTGTGTGTTAGACTCATTACGGTGCCTAGTCATGTACACTGTATGAAGAACCACACTGAGTTAGAACTGTGAATTCTTAATAATCAAAGAGAACAGTAACTAGTGAGAGTAGGACCAACATCTAACATTTGTGTAAATTTGATGCGTTTCAAGGAGATAACAATGAAATTTATCACATGGATGACATCAACAGGTGACATATCATATCATGACAGTTCTTCACTTTTGTTTCTTCATAACATATTGAACTGAATAATTGTTAGTTTCTAGGGCCCGCAAGCTGTCATATAATCATGCAGTCTACTTCATTCAACACTGCAGTTCAGTGTAACAACAACAGGTGTTTGTGCGTCGGTAACACAGCGGTTAGGACTCTCGCCGACCACGCACACGGTCTGAGGTTCGATCCCCTGCCGACGCACACCTGATATCTATGGTCGGCCTGCGAAATTTGGGCTACCTATATCCACGCTGAAAATTCCATAATTGTACCAAAAATACGGTGTGGAATCAAGCTATAAATAAAAAAAAAGTTGATGCAGTGGAATTAAGGGACTAAGACAGTTAATACTGAAGGCAAAGCTGAAAATATTGAAATTATTTGTGAGTAAACACTGGTTTCCACTTTCTATAAAACTGAAGTGAAGAAGGGATTTGTATTTGATGATTTTCACTGTATATCGATTATTCACGATATATCACCGATTTTGACGATCGGGGTGCACTAATCTGTTCAACAAGCTTTGCATATCGTGACGATTTATCCAACAATTTGAGGTATTCAGATTATTTTGGATTTATCTTGTTTTAGACAAAGTGAGTGGGAAGAGATCTAAACCCGTTTATCTATTGGTACTAGGATTGTTTTCTTATGTCAGGTGAAATTGGAATATTTATGTAGTGGTATAATCCGTTAAGTTATGACACTTTTATAACGGGGGTAATAATCTTTTAACTTAACAGAGTGATTTTCAAGGACTAGACACTATTTCAGTGTTTGAAAAACTCTATGAGGTCATTAAGAAAAGCTATGTGTGTACAAAACACAAAACCCTATGTACATAGATGCTTACAGCTACGTTAATCTGTAGGCCGATGGCGCCAATTTCATTCATTCCACTTATTTACCTATGATAGGGCAACTGTATGAGTCGGATTTTAAGTGTTTTGTACTGTCAGAATAATAAAACACTTTATTAATACTATTGTGGTGGTGTGATATAAACAGTGTGTTCCAACGGGATATTATTCACGCATATTCCAGCAGTTCATGTTTTTAAAGTTCTTTTTCATTCCCAGTGGAACATAGGGCTTCGAAATAGCGCTTTGAAGTCTCAGTAGCAGTGGTTTTTGTCTTTACGGCGCGGGATTAGTAGCCTCACGCTCAACCTACCCTCTTTGGCGGAATCATAACCGCTAAGGGAGATAAAGGTGTGCGCTGGCCGGGACTCGAACCCCGGAGCACGCTGATGTTCGACC